GCCACCAGCTTGTGCAGGATGTATGTTTCCTGGCTCTCAATGTCATCAACTGAATATATACAGCATGGCTGTCAGTCACATCAGTTGGATGCAGCTGCAGTTTCTGGGGTGAGAAATAGACCTGGATATTAAAAACAGACTTTTATGTGTTTACCTCTTACTGTTGTGATGAAAGATTGTGGTATCACCAAATAGATCCCCACCCTAACTGCCTTTTCTCACACAAAACCAATTTGCTTCACTAATTAAAACAAAATCTACTTTTTGTGCATTTTGTATCTTGGAAATTTTCTGATAATAATTTAAACTTTTTTTTTTTTAACTCTTGTAGATTTAGCTCAGAGACTTTCATGTTCTCAATTTTGGAGTCTCTTTAAAGCGACTAATTGTCACTCGTGTGAAAATTGGCTTACAAATGAATATTTCTGTTTGAAGTTACTTTCTTAAGCAGAAAGGCAATGTAATTTCTAGGCTGAGTGGATGGTAGTGAAAGAAGCCAAGACTCTTAATTTATTTTAAGGAAACAAGTAATTTACTCTACGCCCTGTAAACTTTATGTTCTCATACAGACCTACATATGGTGCGTACAGAGTATATTAAATTATTTCTGATAAAAGTCATTATCTTTAAATGCAATGCTATTCACCGTATCAGCAGCCCAAAATTAATTTCTCTGAATATAGATGGTCATAAAAGCACATCCTCTTTAGCTTGAATTGCTTTACCAAGAAAGGTCACCAGAGCAGTTCTGGTGTACTGTTGTGATTGTGTCTGACAAACCTGATTTCATTCTATGACAAGGTGACCCACTTAGTGGATGAAGGTAAGGCAGTTGATGTGGTCTACCTGGACTTCAGTAAAGCTTTTGACACTGTCCCCCACAACACTGTCTAGAAGATGATGGGTTTGGATGGGCATACGCTCCACTGGGTGAAACACTGGCTGGATGGCTGGGCCCAAAGAGTTGTGGTCAGTGGAGCTAAATCCAGTTGGCAGCTGGTCATGAGAGGTGTCCCCCAGGGCTCAGTACTGGAGCCGCTTCTATTTAACATCTTTATTAATGATCTTGATGAGGGGATTGAGTGCAGTAAGTTTGCAGGCGACACCAAGTTGGGAGGGAGTGTTGATCTGCCAGAGGGGAGGAGGGCACTGCAGAGGTGCCTCGATAGACTGGATCGATGCGCCAAGGTTAACTGTATGAGTTTCAATAGGGCCAAGTGTCGGGTCCTGTATTTTGGTCACAACAACAACAGGCAACCCAACAGGCTTGGGGAGGAGTGACTGGAAAGCTGCCTGACGGAAAGGGACCTTGGTGTACTGATGGGCAGTCAGCTGAATATGAGCCAGCAGTGTGCCCAGGTGGCCAAGAAGGCCAATGGCAGCCTGGCTTCAGGAACGGTGTGGTGAGCAGGACTAAGGAAGTAATCCTACCCTTGTACTCAATACTGGTGAGGCCAGTTGGCCAGTTGAAAGGGTTGTTAAGCACTGGCATAGGCTCCCCATGGAGGTGGTTGAGTCACCATCCCTGAATGTGTTTAAAAACTGTTTGGATGTGGTACTCAGGGACGTGATTTAGCAGAGCTTTATTAGAGCTACGGTGGTATGGTTAGGTCATGGTTAGACTCAATGTTCTTTAAGTCTTTTCCAACCTGAGTGATTCTATGATTCTTTGTCAATAAGTTATGAAGAATCAAATGCTGTCTCTCAGTTTCGTACTTATAAGTGTGTTGCATACATAAGTGTAAGTGTTGCAGTCACTGGATTGTTTCAAGTATCTTGTTAACTAAAACAATAATTAATCATGCCACATATTAATAATTCACTTGTTCACGATCAACTATGTGTATTTCCTTGCTGAGTTTTGACTAGGCATCAGTCTGACAAATAACAAAATCAGTTAACAATCTGGACTAGCTCCAGACTTCAGACTCCTTAAAATAAGCTGTCTGATACGTTTTCTTTTTTTAATCCACAAAAATGCACCTGACAGTTTTGTAAGTATTTCAGTGATTTCATCCTTTCGTTAACTTCTCTGAAGGGGAAATTTTACTATGTTTTTTCTCAGTTTCATGCATAAATAGAGCAACACAAAAATACTTGGACCTTTGAGTTGATATAACTTGCAGATAGCCTTAGACTCCTATCTTGCTACTAATTTTAACTCGTTTTTTTATGTCTGTAGCTTTTTAACTCATTTCCAGAAGCAAAACTCATACATTAAAATATGATATTTTAAATCTTACATCATAAACTACTGCTGTAAAACACCACTCATTGCCTTATTGTGCACACATTCACTGTTTGATCTCCATAAATGTTCAGCATGTGTCAATGAATGTCACTTCTGCATGGAGGAATTCAGCCTCTACTGCCATACTACCAACATCTGCCTCTGGAGCTGTGGGTCAATATAATAAAATAGGAAGCATTACTTTTAGAGCAGCCCTCATAGAGCCTACAATATAATTGTACAGTATTGATATAATATACTACATAATTTAGCTGTCATATTGTCAAGGAAGAATATTGCTGCTTTGACTGATTGTTAGCATATTCAGAAATTAGTATATTAGCTGTCAGCGAAATGCCATATGACAATTTGACTGTTGGAAATAACCTACATAATGATTTAATTTAAACACAGCCACATGCAAACACTGGGTAGTGACTGAATAATAATTTCTACCCTTTCAGTAAATGACGTGTGCCATATGTTTGTGAAATTTGCTGTATTCAAACAACTGAATTAACAGTGACATGGAACAGGCTAATTTCTGATGGCAGAATGTATATATGTATATATATTTATATATGTTTATACTGGATTGTGAGAAGAAAATTTCAACCATTTATCAGTGAAAATGAAGTCTAGTTTTAAAGATATATATCTATTTCAATTTAAGGAGTACTGTTGTAAGCATTCATTTAAACTGGGAAAGGGTTGTATACGTGAAAGTGAAAATCAGATGTGTACTGAGTGTGTATATAAGGTGCTCCGTGCATACAGTTCCATACAGGGGATATTCAAGTGAGGACTGTGTCTGTAGGCCCACAGCAAATCTGGCCCCATTCCTTTGATTGACTGGTTTTCAGCAAGAGATATCAAAATTTATTGACATCCAGATTGAGTGTTTTTACAAGAAACTGACATATACAGTGCTTTTAAACTACTTTCCTTTCCCATTGTTTGCTTGTTCACTTACACAGTCTTCTGAGACTAGAGCTTGAGATGTACTTAGAAATGAACAGTAAGGAATCAAGTTATTGTAAAATATTGTGTACTTTTGTACACTTTTACATCTTTACTCTTTAGTAGGGAAATATTGGTGATAGGTGTCTAGTTGGACTATATGATCTTGGAGCTCTTTACCAACCTTGGTGATTCTGTGATTTTATGATTCTGGATTTTTCTTCATTTCCATTGAAAGGAGGTTTTCAATTGACTGGAATTTCTACTGTAGGGAGCGTTTTTTATCAGAAATGTTTAAACATTGCTTTCAACAGTAAGACTTTCACAGTAAGAACCAAGGTAAAATAATGAAAAATACATAAATACATATATGCACATATATGTATATTTATTTTTTTCAGTGCTGAGCTGCGATTAGATCTTACCTTCCATCCAAATCTTTGGAATACCAGACAAAACACTTTGAGCACTGAATTGAAGTCCAAATTCTCTTGTGACTTTCCATACTTTTATTAATTCCAGTTTTAGGTAACAAAATATGGCCAATCCACTCTCTCCTTCCCTCATCAGATTAGCACCATTTTGCAGATTCTGAAATGGGCCACTGTACAAGAATCTGTTATAATCCAGGCCTGAGTTTCAAACTCTTCACCCAAGATCTCAGTAATTACAGTAATGTTAGTTAGAAAAAACCATCAGATGACATTAGTCTTTCAATTTTTACTCAAACTACTTAGGTCACTCCAAAAGTAATGCCCCCATTTTATCTCCTTGGAAATTACAACAGATACAAAGAAAACAATAACGTTTGATAGAGGAAATTCTCAGCTACTGAAGACTATTTTTCAACATAGCCATCACAGTTAGCTGTGCATATTTGCAAACAAGAGCCTGCACATTGCTATTGTAAAAATCTGTACCACTGAAGGCGACCTACTGTCACCATCATCACTGCTATAATGCACCATCCACTGCCTCACTGTGCTGACATCCACTGTTTGATCTCCATAAATGACTAGGAAGTGTTAATGAATGTCAGTGGGCGCAATCTTTTCTGCATGGAGAAATTCAGTGATACAAGTTTGCTTCACCTGCACTTCCATGTCAAACACCATTCTATTATACTGCCCCTCTACTGCCATCTGTCTCATAGGAACAAAATGTAATAGAATATTGTTAGGAAGGTTCAACCTCTGCTGCAGTACCACCAACATCAGCCACTGGTGTTCTGGGTCAGCATAACAGGATAGGAGGTATTACTTTCAGAGCAGCTCTCATGTAGCCTGTCAAGTATAGAGTGATAATTTGATCATTTAAGATTGGAGACCAATGTTTCTGTTACATTTGATTTTCTATAAGGAGTTGCATATATTGATCTGTAATACTGTCTTGTTCACTCCGTCATTTTTATTTTTTTAATTCCCTTTTATGTATTCCAATCCAAAGTGAAAAATGAGTGTTACAGAAATTTTCCAGTGTACAAGTTTGTTTTTACCTCGTGCTGTATGTTATGCATTTTTCCCAGGAGACAAGGATCATATTAAACTGAAGTAATGATTTTTTTTGTAGTGAAATCTCTTTCCATTCTTTCATGTCATGATAAATGATTACATGTTAAGAACTTCCTCCACCAAAAAAGTAAGGAAACTCTTGAATGTACTTCAAAGATATGTGGGAAGACCATCTTGAATAACATTATGTATAGGCACAGACGAATTATCTGGCTTACTAGCATGTCATTCAGTAGTCTGCATAGTTGGACTCCTCAAATATTATAGTTCACTTAATATAATGTTGTGATTTATTGCAGGCTATTTGATCATTCCATGGAAGGATTCAAAAACTGGGAGTTTATGACTACTCACTGCTGGAGTGAAAAAGCAGCAGGTGATTGGATCTTGGAAATCTGTGACACGCCATCTCAGCTGAGAAATTTCAAGACTCCAGGTATGAATATGACCTTTTTTGGGGCTCAATGAATTTAGAAGGATGTTTGCAGTTGTTAATAACGCCTTGACTGTTTTCCATCATTTATATATGCCTGCAATATCTAATAGTGTGAAGATGAGCGTGAAGGCAGGACTTTGAAGAGAATCATAGATTCATAAAATGGATTGGGTTAAGAGGGACCTTAAAGATCATCCAGTTGCAGCCTCTTGCCATGGCAATGGTTGCCAACCACTATCTAGGTCTTCAGGAGAGCAGACTTGGAACTATTCTGAACACTGGTAAGGAGGGTCCCTTGGGATTCAGTCTTAAAGGGTAAAGGGGTCCAGGAAGGCTGACCAGTCCTTAAGAAGGAAGTCTTAAAGGCGTAGGAGCAGGCTATCCCCCTGTGCCTTAAGATGAACCAGGGGGAAGAAGACCAGCGTAGGTAAACAGGAAGCTTCTCCTGAGGCTCCGGGAGAAAGAGAATCTACCTTTTGTGGATCAAAGAACGAGCAACTTGGAGAGAGTACAAAGAAATTGTTAGGATACGCAGGGAGAAAATTAGAAAGGCAAAAGCCCAGTTTGAACTCAGCTTGGCCACTGGAGTAAAACAGAACAAAAAATGTTTTTACAAATATATTAACAGCAAGAGGAGAGCTAAGGAGAATATCAATCATTTACTAGATGCAGGGAAATGACTACTAAGGATAAGGAAAGGGCAGAGGTTCTCAATGCCTTCTTTACATCTGTCTTCAAAAGTCAGACCTGTAAGTCTCAGATGGGGAGCAGAATAAACCCTACTACTCCACCTACTCCACTACTCCACTGTCACAAGTGCATGGAGCCAGATGGAATCCACCCAAGGGTGTTGAGGGAACTGGTGGAGGTGATTGCTGGAGAGGTCTCAGAAGATTGGAGGCTTGCCAGTGTGACTGCCATCAACAGGAAGGGTCATAACGAAGATCCAGGGAACTGCAGGCCCATGAGCATGACCTCAGTGCCAGGAAAGGTTATGGAACAGATAATCTTGAGGGAGATCACATGACATGTGAGATGACACGTTCACAAAAGTCAGGTCCTGCTTGATGAACCTGATCTCCTACAATCAAGTAACCTGCCTGGTGGATGAGGGAAAGGCTGCTGATGTAGTCTACCTAGACTTCAGCAAATCTTTTGACATGGTGTCTTTTGACACTATATTCTCTTGGAGAAGCAGGCAGCCCATGGCTTGAACAGGTACACTCTGCAGGGAGTACCACAGGAGAGATGCTCCAGCCCACTGATCATCTTTTTGGCCTCCTGTGGACCTGCTCTAACAGCTTCACATCTTTCTTGGATGTGGAGACCCTCCATCTGAGCACAGTACTGGAGGTGGGGCTACAGAAGGGCAGAACAGAAGAAGCCAGTCTTCTCCCTTGCCTGGCTGACCACCCTTGTTTTTGAAGCACCCAGGTTAGATTTGGCTTTCTAGGCTGCAAGTTCACACATGTCGCCTTTGTTTCGGCGACCCTGACTGAAGTCTCCTTGTGAAAGTGTTCCGACAGCCCCAGCCAGTTTCGCACGCTTTTCATGACACCAATATGGTGAGCGGCAAAATGGCGTTAATTGCAAGGAGCACATCCTTCTTAAAACTTTCTCCATGCCTTAGGGCTACTACCATTGTCTCTGACCAATGGACATGTGGCATGTCTTGTTTCTTCCTTATTTGGTCTAACCTGTTCTTCTCTCTTATCTTCAGGTCATTTGTTGCCATGGTTTCCCAGGGGCCGAGGGGCCCCTGGCGACCCTGGCGACTGCCCCAGACCATTCAGCTAACTACAACACAGATGGCTTACATCAAGCTTTTCATCCACCAGAACCCCTAAATTCTTCTTCACCGTGCTGCTCTCAATGAGCTCTTCTCTCTGAAGTATACCATTCATCACTAGCTTCCACCTGGGCATAAAACCATCAACTACAGACCTCTGGTTGTGACATTACAACCAATTCCTTATCGCCTGAATAATCTAAGCTTAGAAACCATATTTTTTCCAATTTAGAAATAAGAATGTGATATAGGACCTTATCAAAGGCCTTGCAGAAGTCCAGGTAGATGACATCAGTTGTCCTTCCTTTGTCCACTGAAACCATCGCTCCATCATAAAAGGCCACCAGATTGGCCAGGTATGATCTGCCTTTGGTGAAGCCTCACTCATATTGCTTCTTCATCTTGCATGTATCTGAACCTGTCTTCCAAAAGGAACTGTTCCGTGATCTCCCACGCAGAGAGGTGAGGCTGCTGGCCTGTAGCTTCCCTGATCTTCCTTTGGATTTCCTTCTTAAAAATGGGAGTGGTTTCCCTTTTTCCAGCCACTGAGAACTTTTTGAATACAACAGAGAGTGGCTTGGCAACAACATCAGCTAGTTCCCTCAGGACTCAGGGATGCCATGTCCTATGAGGGCCATAGTCTGCTATGTGTTCAGTTTCAAGAGATTGCTCTTCTCTTAAAATAGGAGGAATTTTGGTCCCCCAAACCTTGCTTAGATGTTCAGGGACATGAGAGATGTCTGACAGGCACTGAGTACTGAGGCAAAGAACTTGCTGAGTACTTCAGCCTTGTTGATGTTCATTTTTGCCATTTTTTCCCTTCATATTTTTCAGAGGGAGTGCACTCGCTTTGGCTTGTCTCTTTTGACCAATGTGTTTGAACAGTCACTTCTTGTTGTTTTTTACATCTCCCATAAAGTTCAGTTCCGTTTGTGCCTTGGCTTTCCTGATCCCATCTCTGCACATCCAGATGGCATGCATGTATTCTTCCCAGGCCGCACATCCCTGCTTTCATTGCCTGTGCATTTCCTTCTTATTTTCAGTTTAACCAACAGCTCAACCTTGCCAATTTTCTGCCTCCTCTGCTTGATAAAAAGCATTATTCTTAATTTAATTTATTGATATGCTCTTCATTTTTATGTTGCTGTTATTTGGTATTTAAGATATGGTTGTCTCTTATTCTGAACTTTAGTCTGATTTCCAAGAAGAATTTAACTTTCTAAAGGGTAAATGGCTGCTTTTTAGCCTTCAGATCTGTTGCCTCAAAGCATAAATATGGTCTTTGGCCATTTAGAATTAGATCATACCAGATAGGACTACTGTTACTTCTGACAAGATAAGAGAGTCAGTGCTTTAATGAAAAGCTAATATTACTAGATTCAATTTTCAAGAATAAAGATAAAAAATGGAAACTGCAAGTGACACATTGGAAAGAAGTTATGGTATTTCCAATGCAGGCATTTGTTTTCCTTGTTGTTGATTACAGTTTTTTCAGACAGTTCTTCCACATAAGCTAGAACAGCCCAGAGTGAAATTTCCAGTTTCTCTCATAGCTGAGACAGAATCCAAGTATTTATTTCCATGTTGCTTTTCTTTGCTTTGTATTTGATATCCTACTCATAAGAAAAAGAGTAGCATTTATCAGTGTTTATATAAATTGAAAATCTCACTATACAGCAGAAAAAACCTCATGGCTTGCTGCACTGGTAGGTTGCATCATGCTCCAGCGTGTAGGCAAAATGCTGAGATCTCACAGTTGTCTGCTTACAAACTACTCTTACAAAGAATTTGACATTTTTTGACATTTTGAAACACTCTTCTGCTTTTAATGTCCCTTGTGCTGTTCAGCTTCATTCACCAACTTCAGTATAACTGTTTTGGAAGACATGGAGATTGAGGTAGGAGTTTTCAAAGAGACTTGCAGAAGTAAATGCTTACTTTTGTTTGCTGGTTTTGAGAGATGAATATATAGTCCCCATGGGCCTACCAGAAATTTCAGCCTTAAAAGCGATTTTGAAATACATACTTTGTCTGCAGACAAAAGTAGCAGTTTCTGCATGTATACTGATCATAGTCTTTCCTTCAGAGCTTCACATCAAAGTAAGTAGAAGGCCTTTAGTAAAAACAATCAAAGGGAAAATATCACTTAAACAAGTAAAGATATGAATAAAACAAAGGTAAGAGAGGTATATACAACTGATATATTGGAATTTGTCTCTTCATACTAACGCTTACTCTGAACAGCAAGTCAGAATGTAATCATATTACTTTGGAAGTGACAAATCTAGTTCATTGCTGCTTTCTGATAGCTTAAAATTAATTACTAGAATTCTGCTATAAAATAGCATATTTAGGAAAACAATGACATTAGCAGTAGAATTAAATTATAATTCAGTGAACTACAAGATACTTTACATTTCAGTTATGTAGACTCAAAAGGCAGACAGGATTATTTTTATTTTATTTGCTAAAAACGCATTCTGAATTCTGAGAAATAGATGCTAACTTGAAGCCATAAAAATATATCTTTGTCTATATAAGTAAAGAAACAGTGATTAAAATGTGAAATTCTTAAAATCTCCATGCTTTAAAATATGGAAGATTAAGTAATATTGTGTCAATTCAGCTTTGTCCAAGAAATCATTACTTCTGCAACTAGATAGGAAGATGGAATACATTTTCTTTTGTTTTGTTGAATTATTCACATTGGTCAGAAGGCTATGTGCAGTTCACCTGCTCAAGGTAAACATGTCTCTCTCAGAGGAGACAGTCATGCCGGGAGGGCAGCTCATCCAGGCTCTCCTGCAGCTTGCAAACTCAGTGTGTCTATTTCCACTGTGACTTGGAAAAAGCTAGGGCACAAGAGGAATTCTAATGTGAGAGCACAGTTTTGTCCAGTCTCCTTACTATTCTAAGTGGATAATAGGCCAAACTTAGCTGGGTTTTTACGGTTTTCTTTGTACATAAGTAAACCTTCTCATTTCAATATTATGACAAAATGGAAGTACTGATTTTCTATCTGAAACATAGATCAGCTTCACACAACTGCAGTTGAAACAGATGGAACTGAATGAGAATTTTAGCTTTTTTAGTTCTGCTCATCATTAGCTGAATTGTGTTCTGTTTAGTGCAGCAGATGGACAGAGAGGCAATCTCTGCTTTTTAAAAAGTCTTTTTGCCTGTCTGGCCACCAAATCAAGCTCTCTTGTTG